CCCCCCCCCCCCCCCCCCCGCAGTTCGGGCTTGTGTACGGAGGGAAGGAACAGGCTTGGAGCAGGGGTACAGGGGTTGGACGGGGTGTGGAACACGCCTCTACCGAGCGCGGACCAGGAGGAGACGGCACGGGTGGGGCGAAGGGTTCCGAGGACGGTGGCGTCATTCCTGGCGTAATTTGACTGGCAGCTGGGGCTGGAAGGACACACAGTGCAGGCGGGCTGCGGGGCGTGCAGCACACATCACGGGGATCTGCTCAGGGCACACGGGGAGGCTCCTGCGCTCCTCCTCCCAAGGGCTGGAGAGGGGCGCGGCCAGGCCCGCGCGGGCTGGAGCGCTCCCCTCACCGCTGCCGCCCCGGGCGCATGCGCAGTGCCGGAGAACGTTAAAGATGTGTGTACGGTTTCTGAGAGCCCGGAAGCGCCTTTTGGGCGTTTATTCGCTGCGGGCAGGATATGGGCTTGCTGTCTGCGCTTTGTAATCGCCCCCAGGTCTCTCCGTGGCTGCGCCAATGGGTTTTCCTGAGGTCGCCCCGCTCCAGCTGCTGGAGGAGAGTTTTTAGAGGTTTGTGGCGAATCTGCCGCTTGTAAAAGTCTCGCGGCCGGCTGGGAAGACCCCGGCTCCTCTCCGGGTGGGCTCTGTGTTCCGCAGTCCCACTCTCGGCTCCCGAGATCGGTCGTGGTAGCGGAGCCGTCCCCGCTGGGTTTATGAGGGGTAAAATGTCTTCTTGGGCTATTACCGCCGAGATTTGATCCTTTGAAAGGACTTCCAATGCTCGCAGCGCTGTATTCTGGGACTGGGGTGTCCCCGCTTCTGCGGAAAGAGGGAGATCGGACCCCGCCATCTCTGGCTTTGGCGAGAGAGAGTCTCGCCCTGTGTTTGTCTCTGTGATGTCCCTTGCCCGGGCTTTGGAGTTCCACTTGGTGGAAACTACTCCATAAATCACTCTAGAAGCCGGCAGGAGTTTGGCTGCTGCCGAGTTCTTCAGAGTGGCTTTTTCATAAATTCCTGTATTTACAGTGTTCCACAGGCTCGGGCTAAAAATTGTCTGTGGATCCATGCCAGGAAATTCTGCCTGAATGCAGGATAATAGGCTTTAAATCTCATCCATGGAGACATAGCATTGCTTCTAAGAGAATCAAAACTTCTCTCTCTAGTTTGGAAACAGAGTTTCCCATTTTCTGAGTTCCCTCTAGAGTCTTACCTGACCTCTGGGTCAGTCTGAGCCTTGGCTCCTCTGTCCGTGGTCCATCCAGCAGCTCACGGTTGGCTGGCTCTGGCTTGTCTGCTCTCACCAGCTCAGAGATGGCTGATTTGGTCCCCGGGGATTCTTCCAGCTTTTAGCTGCCTTCTCCAAAGGGCTCCTGATTTTGAGTTCCTCACACGTTGAACGCCGAAGTGACACTGGGGTGACACTGGTGATTCAGTTCTTTTACCCAGGATCGAGATTGATGAGAGACCTGTTTTTGCGTTTGGGCTCAGTTTTTTATTTTTCCTTATCTATATTACATATTTACATAGTACAAGGAGCTATATATAGTAGGGTAAAAGGGTTCAAAATGGCTGAAGAAGTATCTTTTCAAGGTCTTTTAAGTGTCAACTCATCCAATAATGAAATGCCAAATAACTTATTTTCATTATTACCCCAATAATCTGACACATGTGTCCTCCGTCAGGAAAATTAATCCACAAACACCAGAGGTTTATGTCCAAAAAGGAGACAGAGGAGTCCTTTTACTTTATTTGAATAAAGGGAGAGGCCATGGGGCATTCCCCTGGGGTCTCCCAAATTTTTGGAGGGCACAGCCTCCTTTTTATCCTAATTTCCCAGCCACATTTCCCTCTGTCTTTCCCCATTGGCTGAGGTACTTGAGAGGTACAGACTTCCCAGAACACCTGATACCTAAGATTCCCCTCTAATGTATAACCTTTCCTCTTAATTTTTAATTCTTATGGAATTTATGGTGTTTCCCCATTGTTTCTTTCATCTTTCAATATCCAATTTCATCAGCAAACCTACAGTTTGTTTGTAAAGGCAAATATCTCCTTTCCATTCATCAATTAGTGGAATCCATCTTACTGTTTATTTTATCTCTCAGTGCTAGTTTTATTTACCAGCAGACCCACAGCTTGTTTGTGAAGACAAATCTGTCATTCCTCTCACCCCTCTTTTAATTTTTAATAATTGCTTTTACAAACTTTAGTTATCATTGACTTATTGTTCCTGGGTCTTTTTTGGTTTTGCAATTATTTGCAGTGGCATCACTCTCTGCCCTTTTGTAGCCATCTCTGGATCAGTAGGCATGGCTGCTACCTGCATCCCTTTGATGCAAGGGATCATACATGGTAAAAAGACTAGACCTGCTAAAACACATAAGAGGAAAAAAAGCATTTGTTTAACCCATAGTCTACCAGGTAACCATGAAAACATGTCCCATTCCCATCCTTTCCATGTTTGGACCGGTACCTGAGCTAACTTTCTTATTCCTTTTGTTATTTATTTCACCACCTTTCCATTGTCATCTATTTGCAAACAGCAGTTTGAGTAATCTAATTTGCCACACACTCCTTCTTCTGCTAATAAATAGTCTAATACCATCCAATATTGAAATGTTGCATTTCTCATCTGAGTAGACTGGTCAGCAAGAAGGTCAAGAGCTGTAGCTCTCTGGCTGATTATTATTTCAAAGACAGCCTGCGACTTAATTATCTGATTTAAATTAAAAATGGATTCTCTGGCACCTGATATTAATTAATTTGGATTCCAAGTGGCTTGGTCCATAGTGTTACATGAGTCATTCAGGTGGCCATTCATCTTTGCCCCACTTTTGGGTTCTCCCTCCAGCCAGGGATGCATCAAGTGACCGTTTTTCTTTAATTAGATTATCATATACTTTGATTCTTAACTGATTTTCCTGAACTTGTGGTGGCAGAAAGAACAATGGTCTAATATACCCCACATAACATATCCCTGATCAGTCTGGGGGTAACCTGCAGTAAGCATATTGAGCACAATTCCAGTAATGCCCCTTTAAAGCCCAGATCTCATTGGCAAAGGGACTTTACTAATTTTTATCATCAATTGATGGGTCAAAATACAGCTCACTTCCAGGGCCTAGTGGTCCCCCAACAATAGTTGCCTCACCATAAGGAATCACAATATTTGCATTTCCAAGCACCCATATAAGGTTTCCACTTGCAGTCACATCCCAGATCTGTTTTGTTAGATCTGGACCAGAACCTACTGAAAAGGGTTTGGGTTCCATTCTGGTGTTGCCACTTTCACTGATAGTCACAGACAACGTGTCTTAGTTGTGGAATTATCTCAGGGGCTGTGGGTGCCAAAGAATCAGCCAGCAGGAGTGTGGTGCTCCCCTGGAGAGCTTCTCCTTAGGCAAGGCACTTTTATAGTGAGAAAGTGTCCTTCCCAGGGACCTTTGTGAGTTACATGTTAATCCATTGTATCCTATTGGTTTTCTTCCCGGACACTCTACCCTATTAACTGTATCCCAGTTTCCACCCCGCCCCTCTTTTTCCCTATATAAACCCCAGTTTTTCCTCGTTCAAGGGGAGCTGCTGTCACTGGCTCCCTTCACAGAGGGCCTTGCTTTTAATAAAGGCCTGTTCTCTGTGGTAATGCCACACAGTGCTCTGAGTCCCTCTCTGTGTCGCCTGAGAGCTGCCACTGAGCCTGAGCTGAACATCACCTGCCAGGCTAGGGATGTGCCTGTGCCCCTGGGCCATCTTTTCAAAGGTGCTTCATCAGGGAGGTCACAGCACCCCTACCATCCATCCTGCCACAGCAGGAGCAGCTTAAAAATATGGGGTAAAAAAACTTATCTTTCCCTGCTGCTTTACAGCCTTCAAAATCCTTTTGGTAATTATGGAAGGAACACCTTACACAGTTACCATTAGTGAGCTTAACATGCATTTGGTTCCATCTGCCTCAATATCTGGAACAATCATAAGGAGTTGGGGGTCCAACAATGTAAACCCAAAGATAAAGTCCAGTTGCAAATGCTTTTTCCCCATGTATATGCTTCCTGTTCTATTTAGACAATAAATGCCTCTTTCAGAAGAATAAAGCTGCCATGGACTTCTTTCTTTGTCCCAAAATCTTGTTCCATTATGGACTTCACTTAGGGTGATAACCCAGCATTTAGGTTCGACTGGGCTGGCCACCCATGGTCACTTTTCAGATCCCCCTGGCCTTCTGCACACCCAACAATTGCTAAGGTTAAAGGTTTTTTACTATTTCTTTTCTTAAGGTTAAAAAATTTTCCCACTTTTAGCTCAAACTTAACTGACAATATAAAGGTAAGATTATTAAGAGAAACATTCTAATAGTTTAATAATCTAATTTCCACAGGCCACAGGCAGCTGGGGCGTCCTGCAGCCTCACAGGGCTGGCAGCCGCTGCCACCCCTACCCGGGGCTGGCGGTGTCAGGCACTGCCCGGCACTGAGTCCCAGCAGCCCTACAGGCCCCCAGCCTGTGCTCCCAGTCCCACACCTCCACACCTGGTCCTGCTGCTCCTTACCTCAACTATATCTCTCCACACTCTCCTTTAACCAGTTCTGTTCCAACACAACAACACAACAATCCATCCCCTGTTGTCAAGACCCCTTCTCAACTCCCCTTATTGCCCCCCTGGGCATGGAGTGTCAAGATCCCTTCTCGATTTTCCCTTATTGCCCCCTTTGGGCATCTATATCCTTAATTACCTCTGTGAGAATGTGTAAACCAACTCTACATTCTTCCAAGGGATTCTTCAGAGAAAATTTGGGATCGTCATCACTTTTGCTGGGGCCCCTTCCCAGCGGTACCCTTGCAGCCCTCTATGGGTGCCTTATTTTACCTCTGCTACCCTCCATAGGTGCCCTCCCTGAAGATCCCATTTTACTCACTGGTGAGATTTTCAGTGGTCCTTCCCTGTGGACTCGTCATGGACTCCCCTGGTCTGCCACTTGTCTGCCTCCTGGACAGTCTCGGGAACCCAATCGATCGCCTGGTGCCGGCCACTACCAAGGGGAGCTGATCACCGAAACTGGGTGAGGCGCCTTCAGCTCCGCTGCCTGCCTGCTGCCCTGGATGGTGGAAATATCCCGGACGAGCCCCCAAAATTGTCAGGAAAATTAATCCACGAACACCAGAGGTTTATGTCCAAAAAGGAGACGGAGGAGAGTCCTTTTACTTTATTCGAATAAAGGGAGAGGCCATGGGGCATTCCCCTGGGGTCTCTCAAATTTTTGGAGGGCACAGCCTCCTTTTTATCCTAATTTCCCGGCCGCATGTCCCTTCTCTCTTTCCCCATAGGCTGAGGTACTTGAGAGGTACAGGCTTCCCGGAATGCCTAATACCGGACATTCCCCACCATGCACAACCCCCCTCTTAATTCTTAACTCCTGTGGAATTCATGGTGTTTCCTCAGTGTCCCTCCCTTTCGTCCTTCAGTGGAATCCATGCCCTTGTTTCTGTTATCTCTCAGTAATAGGAATGACATGTTTGTCTTCATAAACAAGCTGTGGGTCTGCTGATGAGATGAAACTCTCAAGGTGATGGCGAATTCTCCAAACAGCAACAGCTCCGAGAGCCAGTGTCTCGCTCTCAAGCCGAAGAAACCAGCCAGCCCCCAACTGCCCCTGCCCTCCCCCTCCCTTGCTTCACTTCCCCCCTGGGCCCAGCCAAACTCTGTGTTTCTCAAGCACCCACTAAGTACCAGCCATCAGGTTTTCCCTGCAACTAATGGCAAAAAATTCTATAGGTGAGAAAGAGCAAAAGGAAGGACACCTAACCCCTAACAAGATCTAATACAGTCTCCCTGCTCTTGTCTTTTCCAGCTGGAGGAGCTGAAGCAGAAGGCGTCCAGGCTCAAAGCCGAAGTGGAGGAGAAGCAGCAGCTGGTGAGCCGTGTCACCAGCCTGCAGAGCTTCCTTTCGGAGAGCCACCAGGCCCGAGAGAGGCTGAAGCGAGACCTGCAGGCACAGGCTGCTGAGGGCCAGGCTGAGCAGCTGGCTGCCCTCAGTGTCCAGCATGAGCAGACCCTGCGGGAAAGGGACTCTGCCCTGCAGCAGCTCCAGCAGGCCAACACATCCCTGAGCAGCCAGCTGCAGGCCGTGGGTGAGGAGAAGGCTGCACTGAGCCGCAAGATCGGCGAACTGGAAGCCCAGATCCTGGAGCTGGGTGCCCAACGGCAGCAGGGAATGGCGGCAGAGGCACTGAAAGCCCAGCTGCAGGAGCTGGAGGGCAGGCTAAAGGAGAGCCAGCAGAAGCTGGCCGAGAGGGAGAAGCTGGCCCGGGAGAACAGCCGCCTGCAGGAGCAGCTGCTCTTCCTGGAGGAATCCCTGCGGAACACTGAGGGTATACTGGAGGATGAGAAGAGGCGGGCAGCTGAGTGCCTGGAGGGCAACCTGGCCAGGATCGCTGAGCTGGAGGCAGAGAGACAGCAGCTGGTTCAGGACCGGGAGCCAGCTCTGCCGAAGCGGAGTGAGGAGCTGGCCACACGCCAGGTGCTGGAGGAGAGCTGAGAGCAGCCCATGGGAGCCTCTCCTGCTGCCCGAGGGGAGGATGAAGAGTGCAAGTGGCTGAAGGAGGAAATACAGGCGCTGCAGGAACAGCTGCAGGCTGAGCAGGAGAAGGTGGCTGTGCTGCAGGCCTAGGCAGAGCGACTCCAGGCTGACCTGTCCAGCATTCAGTCATGGGCAAAGGAAAAGGAGAGTGAGGAGCAGAAGCTGAGGGCCAAGACTTCCTCCCTGCAGGAGAAGATGGCTGTGACAAAGCAAACAGCAGTCCAGTGTGTGGCCAAGCTGGTGGGAGATGCCCAGAGAGCTGCTGAGGCACTGAAGGGAGTCTCCCAACAGCTCTCCCAGGAGAAGCTCAAATCCAAGGAGCTGGAAGGCACCATGGGTCAGCTGCGGGTAGCAGAGAAGGAGCTGGCGTCCCTTCACTATGCTGTGGAGGAGAAGGAGAGCTGGAAGGAGCTAGTATCCCAGTGTTTCCAGGATATTGACAGGAAGGACAGTCTGATCAGCAGCCTGGAGCATGAGGTCTCCATCCTTCATCGTCAGGTGATGGAGAAGGAAGGAGAAAGCAAGGAGCTGAAACGCCTGATCCTGGCTGAGTCGGAGAAGAGCAAGAAGCTGGAGGAGAGGCTGCGGCTGCTGCAGCCGGAGATGGCCACTGCAGCCTCCTGTGCAGCTGAGAGGTGCTCACTGATGAAGGTGGAGGTGCAGCGGTGCCAGGAAGAGATGGAGAAGCAGCGGATGACCATTGAGGCCCTGAAGAGGGACCGCCATTGCCAGAGCAAGCAGGAGGATGAGCTGCAGCAGGAGGCAAAGGTCTGCCAGGACAAATGCCTACAGAAGGAACAGCTCCTGGCTGCCCTGCAGCAGGAGCTCAACAGTGCTCAGGCCAAGCGTGTCTCCCTGGAAAGCCGGCACCGCCAGGACCTGGAACAGAGAGTAAAAGCCATGTCCACACTGTATGGATGCTAAATATGAGCAAAAGCAGGGAGCACAGTGCCTCTGGAAAAGCAGGCCACATAATTTTCTCAGTCTCACCTAGAAAGTGGCCTGGGAAATCATAAGGAGGAATTAAAACAATCCTCAGAGACAGAAGACAGCCTTGCAGGTGTTGTTTGTCAGTTTCTTGTTTTCTTGCAAGAGAAGGTCGAGGGGTGGTGTACCCCACTGACCAATGATGGTGATGTGTTAGTTCACTAACCAATAAGAGTTTTACCTTTCTGTACTTTCACATATTGGTCTATAAAAGAAGATCTGAGGTAATAAACCTTAAGCTCTCCTGTTCAGCTCACAAGAGAGTCTGTGTTGTTCTTCTCACTGTTCCCAATAGAGAGACAACACTGCAAGCCTAGCTAGCGCAGGTCAAGCTGGAGGTGGCTGAGGTGCCGTCACTGTGGGAGCAGTTGGCAGAAGGGACCGGGCCATTCAGCGGCTGCAGGCTGAGGCAGCAGAGGCGGGGGCACAGCTGGCAGGGCTGCAACAGGCCAATGCTCAGCTGGCTGAGGAGAACCAGGGGCTCAGCAAGAGCCACAGCCAAGGGCAGCAGCAGCTTGAGGCGGAACTGGGCCAGGCCAGGGAGCGGCACATGCAGGAGCTGGAGCAGCTGCGGGCAGCATCTGAGAAGCTGGTGACCAGCAGCAGGCAGGAGGCTAAGGAGGCAGTACAGAAGCTGGAAGATAGGAGTAAGGAGTATGAGAGCAGCAAAGCAGCAGTCCTGGAAGAGAGGAAGAAACTCCTGGAAGAGAAGCAAAGACTGACAGCTCAGGTAGGGGTTCTACTCCCAGCAGGAGGGCTGTGGGTGGGAGAGCCCTGCTGGAAAAAAGGAGGGTTTTTTTCTTCTGCACACCCCTGAATCCATGTCCTGCTCAGCACAGGGACTGGGGTTGTGGGACACATTTCTAGGTGTGGAAGAGACTGTCACATTGAGGTACTGGAGTTTCCAGAGAAGGGCAGCAAAGCTGGGGAATGATCTGGAGCACCAGACTGATGAGCAGCAGCTAAGGGAGTTGTGGGGGGCTAAGCCTGGAGAAAAGGAGGCTCAGGGGGAACCATCTCTCCCCTGGAAAGATGAAAAGGGAGGAAGTCTTGGCTCCCTGAAAAGAGGGTGCAGCCAGATGACTGGAACTGCATTGCAGAGCTGCAGCAGTGGAACGAGGCCCACCACCCCACGTGAAGACCAGCTACCCCCTAGAGAACATGGTGGGGGCTGGGAGGGGCAGGTCAGGCAGCCCTTTCTCCAGAACCGGGGTTCAGGAGGGGGGTCTGGGAACAGACAGTGCCCCTCAGCAACATCCCCACATCCCCTCATGAGGATGTGAAGATGGGACTCAGAGGAGATGCTGTGACATGCCAGCACACAGCTCTCCCAGATCATCACCGCCAGCAGCAAGGCAGGCAGCCAGTGCAGCACCCAGGCCAGCAGCATCACTACCCAGCAGCAGAGGAAGCGCCTCTCAGAGACCCACCAGGACCCTGACACCCCCCCAGTGAGCTCAGCCCACTGCCCCATCACAGCACCCTACCGGGAACAACAGGTGTTCCAGGTTTTGAGGGAGCTGCTGTGACCCTGTGGGTAACACCCCCAATGGCCACATGTTCCCACTGATCCTGGATACCAGTGCCCAGTATTCCCAGCATCCAGCAGTGGGTCTAGTACTCATGATGCTCCCAGTGCTGGGAGCCAAAGAGGCCATTCCAGAGGCAAAGGGCTGAGCCCTCCTGCCTTCCCTGGGCACTGCTACCCTCTCTCCCGTCCCCTCCCTGCACCCCCTCAGTTCCCTCGTTGCTGCCAGGCCCACAGCAGGGTGACCCACAGATGACAATACTGGCTGGTCCCCTGTTTTGCAGTCCAAGAAAACCTACTGCTTCCCACGGCCCCAGACCACCCAGGACTGCAGTGAGCAGAGTGGCTCCCAGGTCAGTCAAGAGAGCAAGCAGCCAGCCCCAGCCAAACAGTTAAGCTTCAGAGAGAAAAAAGAGGGATCAGGAGGGACTACTCTGTCCTGCCCCTCCTCTGCAGCACAGAGACATATCCTCAACCCCAGGGAGCTGGGGAGGCGTGTGTTGTGCCAGATGGGTGCCCAGAGGAGCACTCCCACAACCTCCACCAGCAGCAGCACTGCCAAGTCCCCCAAGGGCAAGGGAGATACTGCCTGACCCCCTGGGCACACTTCTGAGCTCATGCTCACCCTAGTGTTCCCAACCCCTGCCTTGGGTTCATACTGGCCATGGGGAAAAGGGGGGACAGTCCCTGCTGTGCCTAGGGTGCCATGGCAACAGCAGGTTCCAGCATGGGACCCTGGTCATGTTCACAGTCCCTAACCTCCTGTCTTTGCTCTGTCCTTTCCAGCCCAGTCACACAAGGACAAACAACCCTGAGGTTTCCCCAGTGCCCGCATTGCTGGCTCTGCCCTGGCCCCCACCTGCACCCCCTTACTTCTCCCTGTCCCCCCAGGCCTCAGGAGCACTAAGGGGTGTTATTGGTAGCTCCTCACAGAGGACACCAATTGATGGTGGACACACAACTGATGAAAACATCAGTCCCTTATTATCTTAAAACCTCTTACACCATCTCTCTGTCAACTTCCCATGGACAGCTCCACACAACACCAACTCTTTTTCTCGCTCCTTCTACTGCTCATGACTGGCCGCACCACTCTTATAACACCCATCCTTATGGGCCATAGCTGTGACCTGTTAAGGTCAAGGCTGCTTCCACTCTTTGGTAATTAGTACAGATGCAATTCATTAGTGCTGAAATTTGCCTGCAGCACTATCTCTATTCTCTTACAATCTATTGAGGGGGAACTGGTGGGACCACCCACATGACTGCCTTGAATATCCCACAGACAACTGTGGGGGTGCCCTGGGCATGACAAGGTCCCCTTGCCCTTCCTGCACCCATCATCACCCTAAACCCTTCCAGAACCCAAGGCAAGGGGATGCACAGAGGTTGAGAGCTAAAAACACAGAGGGGTGCAGGGGCTGGCCCTTTCTACTTGTAAATAAAGTGTATTTTTCAACTGCTCTGGGGGTCCTGGCTTCCTTCTCCTACAGTCTATATGCACTGGAACCCTTATCAGGGCTTGAGGGGAGGAAAAGCATGACCTCCTCCTTTTCCTGTCACCTTCCCCATGAACTACACTGGCTGTCCCAAGGCAGGATGCTCACCCAGGGAATCTGCTGTAGCACCAAGCAGTCATAATGCAGATTCCTGTCTTCTTTTTCTCCTTTAACTTATTCTTCTCCAGTAGAAACTCCTGCCATTACAGTGCTTCAAACCCCATCAAACCTGGCTATGGGGCTGGATGCACCTTCTCCATCCTCATACCAGCCTTGCCACCAACGTCCAGAGGCTGCAGTGTCTCTGCCCTTGGAGTACTGCAGGTTCAGCCCTCAGGGGTGGTGGCACAGGGTTTGTCCCCAGCTCTGCTGTCCTGCTACAAGCACTGAGGTGAGGACAGGACCTCTCGTGTCTCCCCACAGTTGCTGGCATGCTGCTCCACCTCTGCCACGCCAATGGGGCAGGACACCCAGGCATCAGGGGACAAGAAAGACTGGGAAATGGAGGCACAGAAAGCACTGGAGGCCTTGAACATACAGGCTCAGAGACAGAGATGGATACAATGTTTGACCTGAGACCTTGGAGAAGGCTTGAAGCTTTAGAGCAATAAAGTGAAACGGACATGAAGTAAGAATAGAAGTTTATAGTTTAAGCAGAAATGTGTTTTAAGCAAGCAGAAATATGCCTCATCTAAGCAAATAAATATTTTAAGCAAGATATAGAAAATTTTAAAGTCTAGCAGTAGAACTTGTTATATAGCAGTAGAACTTGTTATAAAGCTAGTTAGAAATTAAAGATGTAGCAATGTAAGTTTCTGTAGTGTTATATGATTGGATAAGAAAAGATGCATTGCAGTAGAATGGTGTGAGAAAAAGCAATTAGTGATTGGTTTATGAAGATGCTAGCGAGCTTTATGTAAGTTGTTGATTGGCTAAGAAATTTATAAAAGACATTGTAACTAGAATTAAGACGGCCTCTGATGTGATGGTGTTGAATTTAACACCTTAAAAGTCTCACCTTTCTATGAGACTGATTATGCAATAAAACACCTTTTATAACATCTCTCAGTTGACCCCGTCTTTCTGTATCCCAATGAGACCAGGCTGTGGTGGGGTCTTCTCCACACTGAGAAGTGTGTGTGGGGAGCAGATCCAGCGGGAAGCAGCCTGTGGAAAGTGAAGGTGATGTGGTTGTCACAGGCTCACTGATGATGTGGGGTTTGGACTGACACCCTCCCTGATGTTTCTCATGGCAGCCTGGGAATGCACTGTGATGTCCCTCCAGTGCCAGGGCACCAGCAGGAGCCATATGTCCCCGTCACAGAACTGCCACCACTATCCCCATTTGCTGCTCAGTGTCCCCTGGCCACCAGAGGACAACCCTGCCAAGCACCCAGCTGAGGAGATGGGCAGACATCTGTCTCCTCATCACTGCTGGCCTTCCCATCATTCCTCCTGATGTGTCTCTCTCGGGCGCCACAGGCTCGGGCTCTTCCATTCACCCTGGGTGTCCATCCTTGAGGTGGCAGCTGGAGCCCTGCAGAGGAGTCACATGCTGAAGGCACCCTATGCCACATTCTGCTAGCCCAAAAGAGTAAAGGACTGGGCCCAGAACTACCTGGGAAAGACTGAGAATGGTAAATGGCCAGGGTGAGGGCAGGAGGAAGACAGTGACGCGTGGGATTTACCTACCAACAGGGCTGGGAGCACAGTGCCTGTCCAGCTGCCTGCAGGTGCTCAGAGGAGCTGCAGGGACATCCAGTACAGAGCCTGGGAAAGAGCAGGCAGGAATCATAGGGACAAAAGACAGTTTGGGTTGGAAGAGATTTTAAAGATCATCTGGTTCCAAGCCCCTCACCATGGGCAGGGACACTTTCCACCAGACCAGGTAGCTCCAAGCCCCATCAAATCTGGCCTTGGAACACTACCAGGGATGGGACAGCCACAGCTGCTCTGGGCAATCTATGCTGGTATTTTACCACCCTTCCAGGGAAGAATTTCTTCCTAATATCCCATCTAACCTTATCTTCTGTCAATTTGAAGCCATTGCCCCTTGTCTTGTCCTCCCAGGCCATTGTCCCTCTCCAGTTCTTTTGGAGCCCCTTTAGGCAGTGGAAGGGACTCCCAGTTCTCAGATCCTTCTTGTCTCCAGGCTGAACAGCCCCAGATATCCCAGCCTGTCTCCACATCAGAGGATGCTCCTCAAGAGCACCTCCATGGCCTCTTCTGGTCTCATTCCATCAAGACCTTCTGATGTTTGGGCTCCCAGAGCTGGAGGCAGCTCTGCAGGTGGGGTCTCACCAGAGCAGAGGGGCAGAATTCCCCCTTGCCCCACTGCCCACAGTGGCTGGGGACCAGCCCAGGACAAGGCTGTGCAGATTCACCCACCTGGCACTGCGGGACCTCCTGCATCCTCGGCCGGCAGCTCCGGGTGAGCCCCCAGGGTACTCATGCCAGCTCTGGGCCTCAGCTCTTGGTTCCACTCTGCCAACAGCACCAACTGGGCAGATTGGCTCAGGTGGGCTCCAGGCAGCCCCTTCCAGCTTCCACAGGCAGCTCCTCCTCCCTGGATCTCCTGGGGATAGGGAGTGTCAGCCTCACAGGAGGACAAAGCTGGTGGGAGCTGGGGCTCTGGGCTCCAAGGAAGCACCTCAAGGGCTCCAGGCCACACTGTGCAGGGACAGGATAGGGTGGACCACACCAGGCCGCCTTACAAGCATGGTTCAAGAAAGAAAGTGGTGAAAGGCTGAGCTGAAGCACCAGGATCTGTTGGAGAGCTCAGTGTCCTCCTGTGGGACAAGGGGAGGCCCCAGGCGATTAAGACTGGTACCTTGTGCCCACCACTCTGCACACAGCCACTAGCTCAGCCCAGCAAGCACCTCCTGGGCTTTCCATGGGGCACAAGTGATGTCTGTGGAGGAGTGGCCCCTTCCTGCTGCTTCCCCATGGAGATGTGAGAGACACCTACTGCATCCAGGCTGGCTGGGGGGTCAGGCTCCTGTGGTGCGCACAGGCAGATGGAGAGCCCGAAGCAGCTGCACGGACTGACGGGCTGGCTGCAGGTGAGCTGCACGCTGTTGCAGTTTTGGAGTCAGGCGCACAACCAAACACACCGAGCTCATGCAACAACAGACAGAGTTTATTGATGAGTGCCCCCTTTTATAGGGGCTTCAAAATTCCCACACTTGAGCATTTGATTGGTTGGGGTCTTAACACTGCCCAGCTCACTGGCCAATGATATGTCTGTATTCAGCCTTGAATGGGATTGGCTGACGTCTCCTGTTTGAATCCGAATCCAGCCTATCACTGTTTTACCCGGGGACTTGTTTACTTCTGCTCTTGAATGTACTGGGCTGATCTGTGGTCTGTTGTGTCAAATTCATCTGTGCGGCTCACAGACCAGATCTAGCTGTCACGGCATGCGGTCCCACTTCTGCCCCACCATCAGCTCTGAGAAGTCTTCTGTGGGGAAGAGCAGCTGGGGTGGATGGGGCACTGTCCCAACACCACTCCTGCCTCTGCTTGTTGCTCTGTTGCTGTGCCACCCAGGGTGTGTGGGGAATTATGGGCACAAGAGAGCTGGGGCAGGGAAGCAGAGCTGGTACAGCTTTCCTGAGGACATGAACAACCCTGATCCCTGGTCTACCTGTCCTCTTCTACCCTCCTCTCAGCCACATCCTACCCCTAGCCCCATTCCATCACCATCCCCCCTCATCAGCTCCATCCCACCACCAGGCCCACAGCTCTTCCCTATGCCTTTTTCCTTCGGCTCAATCCTTACCTTCCTTAAATATCCAAACCCTGCAGTGATTCTGGTCCAGCTTCAAGACAGCTGGTGGCATCAGTGTGACAGTGGGCACCAGGGTGAAATAGGGCTGGTCACAGGGCCATGAGGAACATCCAACCTCAATCTGCAGAAAGACACAGCCATACTTCCCTGGGGAGCAGCGAGAAGCACAGGGGTGAGGGGGTTCAGAGCTGCTGACCCCAATGTGGGGCACAGCCCTGGCTCCTGCATGGGGGCAGAGGACAGGCAAGTACCAACATCAACACAGCCAATGGGACCGGCTCTCCCTAGGTGCAGCTCCACACTCAGCTGCCTGCTGTGCTCCTTGGGGCAGCCAAGCCAGGACCATGTGCCATCCTCACTCAGCAGGTTCGCTGCTGGCAACCTGGGGTCCTGCACACACTGCAGGGACACAGCATCATGCACCAACCCCTCCCTAAATGTCCTCTCCTCCAGCTCCAGCTTGTTCTGGGCACAGGGGAGAAGCACAGAATTCTCTGGTAACCTACAGGAACAACACCCCATTTTGAGAGAGCAAGAATCATGTGAATCATTGCCCTTCAGCCTAACAAGGAGAGCCAGTGCTGCATCCTCTCACACCCTGACCCACCTCTTCAGAGACCCCAGCAGTTCAGAGGGATCACCCCTACACTCAGCCCCCCAGAGGAAGCCCCCAGGCACCTGGGAGGAGAAGGACACCACATAGCTGATTTTAACTGGAGCCACTCAGAATCCTTTGGAGACAACACTCTGCCAGAACATAACTTCTGTTTGGATCCTACCACTGGTGGGAGCATTGGCTTCACTGGGATCACCACTCTGTGCCCTGAGACACCTGGCTGGGTTGTGAATGTAGGATTTAAACTAGTTCACTGGTTCTGATCATGTGGGATGGTGGGCGGAGCCTCGGCTCCAATAAAATATGGGAGTGGTGGTTGTGGTCATCACTGCTCTTCCTGGGATGGTGAAGGACAGCTCTGGGCTGTGCTGGCACTGTGGGCATGTCAAGGCTTCTTATTTAAAGCATCTAAATCCAGAGCTTCCCAGCAGCTGATTTCATGGGTGGTTTTTTTCCCTCCCTAAGTCGATCTTTCATTCTTGTCCCCAGAGGAGAGATGGAGGTGAGTGTTTT